CAAGTATGAGTGATGGTGAGCAGAGCCTCCCTGTCCAGGAATAGGTACAATCTGGCACATAAGATGAATTTGGGAAAAGGCCCCCTAGCCATGGCTGCCACTTGCTCCTTGAGCAGCAGTCACAAATCCAGAATGATCCACAAATTACATACCAGCTCTATCCAGAGGAGTGCTACTCCACTGAGAATCAGAGATGACACCTCATCAGACCCAGGGGGGCCAAAAAGCACAGAGCCATTTCATCTTGCTGGGGTCAGTCGTAGCCAGTTCCTCCCAGTTAAGACCCACACAGCCTCCAAGTGCTGGGACAGCATCTGAATGACATTGCCTGACCAGTGAGGGATGAAGATGTACACCTGATACCATCTGATGATACCACACCCCATGCTCTTGCATGACCTCACCCTGCAGTTTCATATGGATATTAAAAAACAGCAGTGAGAGAACTGAACCCCGATGCAGCCCATTCTGCAAGAGCCTAGGGTTAGATTTCCCCCCAACACTGACTGGAACTGGCCACTGTGAAAGGAGAACCACTGCAAAACAGTGCCCCCCACTCCCAACCCCCAAAGCCAGTACCATCATTGATTGTATCGAAAGCCACTGAGATATCCAGGAGGGAGAGGACAGAGGCATCACCCCCATCCCTAACCCTCCAGAGGTCACCCACCAGTGTGAGAGATACTGCCTCAGTACTGTAATCTGGCCTGAACTCTGACTGAAAAGGGTCCAGATAATCCACCTCATCCAGGAACCTTTGAAACTGAGCGCCAACCATCCTCTCAACTAAAAAGTTGTCCAAAATGGTTGGGTCCAAGGATGGCCTCTTAAGAAGGGGATGAACCACTGCCTCCTTCAAGGTAGGTGAAACCACGCCTATCCGTAAAGAGGCATTGAACACTGCTTGGACCCAACCACATGTCATCTCCTGGGAGGCCTTAATGCTATCTGGCTGACTGTGCAACCAACAATAATATATTAAACTTGTATGCCACCCAACTCTCAATGACTCTTAGAAGCTTTCCAAAAGCTGAGGGCAAGGGGTCAAGCATATCACCAAGGGCAGCGTATTCCACACAGTTAAGTGCCACAACTGAGAAGGTCTGTTTTGTAGTTCTCATCCCCCTTACCTCACATGGCAGTGGGAACTTAAGCACTTATTCTCTAGATGATGGACCTGATGGGAGGAATCATTAAGAAAAAGAGGTCTCTAACTTAATCCAGGGGCATGTTGTATATGGCTTTATAAGTAATATCCTGCACCAAAATTGGGCCCTGAAACCTACAGGCAACCAGTGCAGCAACTATAGATCAGGTGGTATCTGTAATGGCAGGAGCTGCCCTCCAGCAGTCTATACCCTTCCATATCAGCTGCAACTTCTGATTCATTTTTGAAGAGCGCACTGCAGTAAGAAGAACCCCAAGAGATATCCTGCAATGTAGGACCTGTTCCTTCAAGGGGAGTACAACTCTGTCCGGGGTCATGTCCAAAAAAGAGCTACCATCAAGATAGCCAACTCTCCTTCATCCAATGGAATTTGCTGCATTCAGAGTACAGTGGCAAGAAGGGCTGTGTAATTAATGGGAAATGACAGGCCTAGTATGGAGATGAAGTCCCTTATGGAAATGTTCTATTGTCCTCAGTCATTATGCAGCCCAGTTTTGTAACATAGTCCTGAGAAGTTCAGAATAAAGAGTTGTGCCATTTACCTTAGGTCCTACTGCTAGAATTGAAGGGGGAAAATGTTGCAGAGAGAGGGATTAGAGGATATTACTTTTTTTTGTTAAATATTTTATCCCGCCTTTATTATTTTTATAAATAACTCAAGGCAGCGAACATATCTAATACTCTTTCCTCCTCCTATTTTGCCCACAACCACCACCCTGTGAGGTGAGTTGGGCTGAGAGAGAGGGACTGGCCCAAAGTCAGCCAGCTGGTTTTCATGCCTAAGGCAGGACTAGAACTCATCATCTCCCATTTTCTAGCCCGGTGCCTTCACCACTAGACCCAACTGGCTCTCTTGCCCATACTTTCTTCTCAAACTTTTTTTTTCTTTCCTAACTTGCCCATACTTTCTATGGGCAATCATAAAAAGTTAATGCAGAACCTCAGAACTGGGTGAACTTCTTCCCCTACAGAGACGGTTCTGAGGTTTAGCTTTTATTTTGCAGGCGGCAGGTACATCGTGATGGGTCGCCTCTATCACCGGAGAAGGCAGCTGCCTACAGTTCTGCAAGAGCGTGTGAGAGGGCGCCTGAGGCCAGGAGATGGGCTACTCTGCAGAGGCAACAGCTACATGAAGAGGTTCAACAGAAGGCGGGATCAAAAAGTTCAAGGGGCAGCTCGCTCCAAGTGTAGATGAGAATGTAACTCAGCCGTAACTTTCCCTGGGTCTAAAAGCAGTTTTAAGGTTATAGGCGGATAAAAAGTATTCTCTGGTTTTGCTACAGGCTCATCATATTTTCTGGGTGACAAATTCTCTTGCTTTTGCTTTTAATACAAGGAACCGGAGCCTGCTGCAACCTTTTAATTTATTAACTCAGTTATCAAGGTGTGGATTTCCATTGGCTTCAACAATCTACTAGCCACAAAATAAAGGAGGTTCATGGTACAGAATGCCTGTTCTGGAATACTTCACAGATTAATCAGATATGAATCTTAGTACAGTAGGCAGTTTTACCACTTTCCATTTCTTGGGTACTCCTTTAGTAGCATTTCTGTCTATCGGTAGCCACCTTGCTTTGTCAGACTGAGGGCCCCCTGAATCAATGTATTAACAAGCCATTAGAGGCTTTTATAAGCCATGAATTAGCTTGGGCTGGAGCTGTTCAATTGCAATCACTTTGTGCCTTTGCTTGTTAGAAGCAGCACTTCTCTAGCACCTGCTAGCAGGAGCTTGAAAGGCTGACCGCAAATGCTTCGTACCTAGACCAACCAGCAGACTGTGGCCCTGACACCTTGCTAAGAAACTTTGCAAGCACGCTCGTTACTGGAATAAAGGAAGGTGATGTGATATTCAGTTTCAGCTGCCATTAGAGGCGTCTGGACAAGGGTCCGGAGGTGAACAAAGTTTATCATTAGCATGCTAAAAAGCACACCCAGAAGTGAAAATCTCATATGCTAATATCCTCCCCCTGGACTATTATGGGATAGGGTGCTTTTGTGCGCACGTCTATGAAGTTTATCATTCAGCTTATTGCTTCCTTGTTTAAACTGTATAAAAAAATGGTTTGGGCTTCATGAAGGACCCGCTCAATTTGGACTTAGGTCCTGAGCGTACCTCTTTGCTTCTGCACAGAAATAAAGTGTTGGATTCCACTTTCCTCAACTCTGCGTGATTGATTGGCCCCTCGCGCCGGGTGACACGAACCCAATGTCGGACTGGGCCAACAAGATTAGGTATTTAATCAAAAGTTGAATTATTCAATTCTGGGCTAAGTGGTAGAGACAAAAAGCAACATAAGAACAGTACTTTATGGATTCTTAGGCAAAGTTTTATGGAAAAATGATAAAATGTGAGATTATTCACCCATTTCTTTCTTAGCAGACAAGCTAGAGGTCTGAATCTTGAACAATGTCATTTTCTTACATGGAATCAAATGCTCTTTATTGCAGAGTCTACATCTTCTAAGCAGCGTGGAATAATACTGCATTGCACACCCTTTCCCTAATGCTGTTATCCAGGCACTGCAATTTATCATATTGCAATAGTACACAATTTTCAGAGGAGGCGTAGCCAGATGTTGGGACCAATGGCAAACGTACCTTTTTCTGCAAGAAACCATTAAGAACCCTGCTTGTTCAGATCAAAAGCCTACTGAGTTCAGCAGCATTTGCCACAGTGGTTAACCAGCTGCCAATCAGAAGCCTTTCCAGGTACCTTTAGGGATTATCTTCTATATACATCATGACTAATTCCCAATGACAACACTACTCTACAATATCAGTAGTTCTGCATTCATTTTCAAAGTTCTGGCTTTAACAATTGAACATAAAAATAGGTAAAAGTAATATAAACTAAATATGTAAAGCATTATCAAATGGTTGGCTAGTTGTATTAATGGATTCATAAATGCTATTCCTGATATAGAAAATAAAGCATTCAGACATTTTGAGAGATATTTATATGTATTTAAATGTAAACGTTATATGACAGGAATATATCACTGATATAATAAAAAATATCAATATATCTAGAACTAATTACAATATTGTATCAGAATGGTAAAATTTGGGAGGAGGGAAAGTGAATGTGATGGAAAAATGCAGACACCAATGAAAAAGTACAACTTAATTTTGGACTGGAATAATTTAGGACGAAAGTACTTTAATGACTGATAGAAAGGGAATTGGTCCAGTCATTACATTCTCTATCATTATAACATTTTTTACCCACCCAGCTGTGGCTGGAATCACTTAGGAGCTTTTAATACAGTACCTTAATAAATGCCTCTTCACTTCAGGTATCTGGATTTCAACAGGTTCATACATCTCTAACAGAAGGACAGGAAATATTAAGTCAATGTGGAGAGGTTGTAGGCTTACCACTGTGGTGTATGTCAGAGTTGAAACTTCCAAGGTGTCTTCAATGAAAGCACTTTATTGTCTCAAAATGAGATTACCTGGCAGTAGCCCATAACAGTGGGGGGAAGAGGGGAAGTAGCTTGAATCCAATTTCTCCTTGCATTCATTTCCTTTTGCTTTCTATATTTAACAGAAATACTGTATTTTTCCGACTATAAGACGATAGTTTTTTCCAAAATCCTTATGCTAAAAATTGAAGGGCGTCTTATTCAAGGAAGTAAGCTGAGGAGAGAACTGCGGACGGTTTGGACCTCCTCCCACCGAGTGTATCAGGTAAATGTTACCTAATTACTAAATAAAAATGTATTCTGCACTATCTTTAAAATATTGATTTTTTAATTTTGGGTTGGAAAAGTGGGGGTTGTCTTGTACATGGGGGCAAATCAGTTATGCAAAAGAGCCTGGAAATAGAGCTGCAGAGAGACGGTTTGGACCTCCTCCCACCGAGTGTATCAGGTAAATGTTACCTAATTACTAAATAAAAATGTATTCTGCACTATCTTTAAAATATTGATTTTTTAATTTTGGGTTGGAAAAGTGGGGGTTGTCTTGTACATGGGGGCAAATCAGTTATGCAAAAGAGCCTGGAAATAGAGCTGCAGAGAGACGGTTTGGACCTCCTCCCACCGAGTGTATCAGGTAAATGTTACCTAATTACTAAATAAAAATGTATTCTGCACTATCTTTAAAATATTGATTTTTTAATTTTGGGTTGGAAAAGTGGGGGTTGTCTTGTACATGGGGGCATCTTATTGACGGAAAAATACAGTATCTATGTTTGTGTGGTGCTAGAGTCTTCCATTACAAGCTTTCCTTTGAAGGAGGAAATGTACAGTACCAGTTTTGATAATAACTTAGCTACAGCTTAACAATATGGTACTTCTATTACAACTATGCTAACAGCCAATATATGAAGTTTCAAAAACTACTGTGTGTCAGTCACATGAAAGCTTTGATTCACAGGTTTCACTTGCATGTCATTTTGTCCTTGTCCAGAATTAAAATCTCGTCTCTTTAATGTTATGAAGCATCATGTGTTTATTACATTACTATAGGGCTTTCCCATGTGATAATATGTTCTATAGATAACAAAAGCCTGGATTCTAATTTTCTATTTCCCAGGGCCTATGGCATGTTTCATGTGACTCTAGGCTCCCAATTTCTAGGTAAAAAGGAATGTCAGAATCCATAGAAGTTAGGGATCTCAGCCCATTGGCTCCAGGACAATAAGTAATATTTATGTACTGTAGTGCTTAAGAATGTTCTAAAAGCACTTTGCAAGCATGATCCAATTCATGATCTAACATCAGATTTGTTTGATGTTACATACAGAAATCACATAAACAGATACAGGCAACCACATGTGGAAGCTTCTGACCTCTCCCAGCTGAACAGGAAATTTGTCTAAGCCTTGCTGCAACCCAAGCATATATACACCCTAGTTTGCCGAGTTAGAAAAGCTCTGTGCAATTTATCAATATTATTTTCCTACTGCAGCTTGTGTACATGCTTAAGGTTGATAGTGGCTTCCCTACATCAGTTTCCTCAGTCTCTCAGCAATTATACTCCACACAGTCCTAAGTCTCAGTGAATTCTATATGACTTATTTCTGAGAAAATCTATTTAGTGCTGGGCTATATGAGCCAAGATACCTTCTCACTGTTCAGGAATCACAGATCGGGACCTACAGCACATTAACTGAAGACTGGCAAAAGCAATCTTTCCATCTGAGAAGAAAAGTGTTACTGCTTAGCAGGGAATCCTTTTAGCTTTAGGGAAATGCTGTTCTTTTTCTTAATTACAAGCTATGGATTCCTTAATGTAATATTGTTTTGCATACTTTTAAAGCACCAGAAATAAAAAAGCTGCCTCAGTCTTTTACATTGTGGTATAAACAGCCATATTTCTCTGCTTTCCTTGCTTTTTGAGTCCTGTTAAATGTTTCTAAGAGGAAATGACAGTTCTGTATATATCAACAGCTATTATTTTCTTTGGCGATGTGACTCCATGTTTCATAGCATTGGAGTCTGCAGCATTTGAGTATTCTATGGAATATACACATTGGTATATTGCTAACACAGGTCAGACCTCTGCAGTCTATTTGGAGTATTTGACGTAAGTATTTGGAAATAGTCTTCATTTCAGCTTTAAAAAAATATGGCTGCCTGCGCAGAAACTAGCTCATTCTGGGTGCAGTTTAACATGCTATGTTATTTTCACCAGCAGTCCCTGCAAACTGCTGGGTGGACACTGTACTGGGAAAGTGTATTATGAAGAAAAATAGCAACTTCAGAAAACAGTGGTTGCATTTACAGTAATTGTAAAGCATAAGCTAAACTAGAATATAAAAAGACAAATACTAGGATTTAACCACTAGGGAAAACCAATATAGGTTTTAAAAGATGCTTAAAACATCAAAATTAGACTTGCATTCCGAATGGGGTGTGTGTGTGTGTCATTCCATTACAAAAAAGTTCCGTACCTGCGCCACACCAAACGGTAATCTGCAAGCCACGACTTGGGTAACAGTATTTCTGAGGATCGTAGGGGTCAGAAAATTATTGAAGGTTCTTGTTTTAGGTAACCCATCTTGAGTGATTTAGGGCTTCATGTGCTAATACCAACATCTTGAATCTGGTTCAGTAGCTGCCCACCAGCAGTGCAAATCCTTTAGACAGAGATAATGTGTACGCATATGGTGAGACACCTGTCAGTACCCTAGTTGCTGAATTCTGCACAAGTTGCAGTTTCCAGACCAATCCCAAAGACAGCCCCACAGAGAGTCCACTACAGTTCTCCATCCCTCAAGTCACCAATGCAATGCTGTTGTTCTCTGGGAGTGGGTGCAGTTGACAGAGCCCCAAGTTACAGAGGTTAACATCTAAGTGCAAACCTGTTCCTTCGAGGGGTACCACCATAACCAGAGCAGATAATTGAATTCCTAGACCATTCACCCAGTGGGCATGCATCTTAAATCAGGACTCAACTTCAACTGACTCTCATCCAGTTCACCTCTGCAATTAAGTATTGGTTTAGACTGCACCGATGCTATCCCAATTCTGATGTCCAAAAAACATGACTTGGGTGTCATCAACTTATTGGTGACACTTTCTTCCATCCCCTAAAAGCTGTAACTCAACAACTTTATAAAGATACTAGACAGCGATGGATTGTATACCTCAAGGCAACACACAAGACTGCCAAGCTGCTGAGTTATAATCTCCCCATATTATTCTGGGACCACCTCCGCAGAAACAGGCAAAGCTGTTCATAAAAATGCTCCTGACTCCTAGCCCACAGAGCCATTTCATGAGGATGCTGACTCAGTGGTATCAAAAGCCACACTCCATCAAGAGTAACTGAGTTGCATAAGGGCAGCTGAGGCCAATCCTATTCCATATTCAGAGTTGAATCCAGAAAGAAATGGGTCAAGGTCATTAGTATTCTCCAAGGTGGTTTGCTTCACCCACCTCTGTCACCTTGCTCAAGCCAGGAGTACAATAATTTATATAATCTTCCAGTCCAGAAAGTTTGCTTCTTGGCTTGGCTCCTTCACTAGTATAGCCAGTTAAATAACCAGGAATTATTCAGCATGTTATCTAACTTAGGGATGCTGGCTGGTTATTTCCAGAGGCAGGATTATAGGCCAATGAACCTTGTAAAGGATATGATAAGTCAGGATCACCATTTTAGTCATCATGTGAAAGAATCCATTCCTGATTTAAGTAGCAGAAGAAGGCAAATGAGAATAAATAGGTCGTGTATGCTACCAAGTGGTTTGTTCACAATACATAAGGATTCTGAAGGCTCAAAGAATATTATTTTCTGTTAAAAGGAGCAATTATTTCATTGATTCAATAAAATATTAATAAAATATTGGAAAACATTTGTTTCAGACAAAACTGTGCTGTTTGTGTGTGTGTGTATGTGTGTGTGTGTGTGTGTGAGAGAGAGAGAGAGAGTTATAAACAGAGAATGACATAAAAAATTTAAAACTGCTGTGTATCTAAAATCAAAAGCATGTCACATATTAAATGAAATAATTCACTGGATAAAATACCGCTTCCCAATTTTGTAATGGTTTATCACAATAATTAAAAATTAAAATAAAGGGTCAATCATATGTCCAGTTCAGACATTTTGAGAACAGCAATTCAGAGAGCTTTCTTACCTTAGAGTGATTATCCATAAGGTTTAAACTGTGCATTTTGCCAATAGTGGTACAAATATTTTGCAGCTGTTCAAGACAATACCATTCCAACTTAAGTCTCATTACAAAAACAAAGCAGCTAATGAGGATTTGGAAGTTTGTAGTTAGAAGACCAAATATTTCCATTTGACTGAGGAACTGCGAATAAAAAGTGAGCTCATTTGGTTCGTGACACTTGATACCCAGTGAGTGATTTTAATGAGGCATGAAGTGATCAGAAAAAAAGTATTCTGCACATTGTTTCATTTAAAAACTGAGTAAAGTATAATTTTCTTTATTCCTTTTACAGAAGTGGTATTTAAAATGTACACACATTACACTGGCTCATAAATAAAGTTTTTCAAAAAACTAAAAATTACCATAGTTGATACAGCTAAGAATTGTCTTCATATATTACAAAGCAGTAGGAAAAATGATGCGGCTTGGTAAAAAGTGTATGAAAGTAGCATTTTCCTCATTCATAATTAATATGAAAAACTTCAAAGAATTTCTGCACAGTATGGCAATGCCAAGCGCTACATATTTTATTCTAAACAAATGATGTTTCATTAGGAACTCCACCAAATCTGAGGTCCAACAACATTATTTTATTTGTCTAAGATGAAATGTCCTATTATGTACAAAAAGAGTTATTCTTCAGTTTGTCACAATCTGTTAAAAACAATGATCTATTGCCTATAAGTAGGAAAGTTCTCATCATGGTTTTTCAAGGTCAGCCATAAGTATGAGTAATAAAGAAATACGATGAAGAGACAGTATTTGTAGGATTAAATTTGAAAAAGTCCTTCTTGTATAAACATAATGCATACAATATGTAGCATCTCTTTGAAAAAGTCCTAAGACAATATACCCTAACACACAAATACTCTTCTTCCTACTGTCTAAGAAACATAAATGGATGGTCTCACAACGAACATTAACTTCCTCTTGAATTCATATTGATTAAATGACAGCATCTATATACAAAAGCAGAAGCTTTCTTAGAGAAAATTAACCTTATATTATCTGTACACCTGAGCCTGTACTTATAAGAAAAGTGTGATCGACAGCAATGTCTAATAAAGTAACAGAAAAGATTTTTGCATAGCAGGGTGAGGTTAAACCCAAGGGAAGCTTATCCATAATCAGATAAATTCCAGATCATTGAAGGGCAAAAATTATGAATTAGTGCAAAATCTAGTTAAAATAGGTGTAATAGTCAGAAGCCAACTGCTGCTGGATATGGTGCACATACAAAACTGTCAGTAGCATACGTCACCTGTGGGGAGCAATTACAGCTAAACATTTAACACCCCTCTCGTCCTTCTTGGCTTTCCATTTTTGTACTGTATGTCCAAGTAGAAAAGCCACCAAAACGCACTTCTGAGACGGTTATTTAACCTTACACAGCCACTTACTCGTCACCATCTCAGTTAGCAATGGCAAGGATAATTCTCACGCAACTGCTTTATCATCAATGCAAACGTGTGGCACCACAGAAGAATTTTTATTATAGCTGATTAAAAACAAATAGAATCACACTTTGGGGGGAGGTTGTCCATCCTTTCCCTTTCCCTTTCCCACATTTCCCTTCTGTACTTTAGGATCTTACACATAAGAACAAACCTCACAAACATGTTAGTGAACATTCAAAAGACACCTACATATGTGGAGAGAACAATGATCTCCATTTATTTGTTTCATATACATCCATGTTTTGAATTTTTAATACAAAAAGAAAAAAAAGTTAGAATCTGACAAATGTTTACAAACAAGATACCTTCAAATAGATTTTACTCAGATCAGTCCGTTGCAGAGTAAATGATACTGTACTGTTATATTCAAGGCAACAAAGTCTGTAGTCCACGACCACTTTGCCCAACTTTTATGCAAGCTTAATTGTTTTCCTCTACCGCGAACGATAAACTCAATGTTGATTCCCAGTTTGTTTGTGCACATGTGTACATAGCAGCTCCTTTCATAGAAAGAAAAGACATCTAGAGGTCATCTTGTACTTTTACCTACAGGAATCATGGTAAGATACAGAATGGGTTACATACAACCAGGGCTGGATTTGTAAGGGGAAAAAATAATCAGCTGACAAATGAGGGCAGCAATAAAAAAGCGTCCTTTTGCAACAATAAATAAATACAGTCAAAAGTTCTCTGTGTGGAATTTATAAACCAGCTTCTTCACTGAAGAACAGATGTGGCATTTCCATGGAGTTAGAATTTGACCCCATTTTACTGTATCTTGTTTTCTCTTGCGTGTTTTTTTTCCTGTCCTTCAGCAAAATGTTTTCCTGTTTCTGCCACAACAGCACAATTTGATCTTGACAAGAAAACGATGCTGCTGATTTTCATTCTTTTGTCCTTTGGACAAAATTAGCCAAGAATATAAATCTGATGTGACTGATAAAAACACAGTTTACATCAAGACTTGTCAGGACACCCTGACTAAAAACCTCTGGCTCCCCAATTAAAAAAATTCAGGCAACCAGATTCTTGTGGTTTGTGGTATGGTAACACGTAGAACTTTAAGAAGCTGTAGACTGCAGTTTGTTGTTATGAGACCTGCAGAACGCAGAAAAAGGAACAAGTAAGCAACCTTCATCTAAGCGGACTCCAAAATTCAACCACTCGGGGATACCAGCCATTTTGCTGCTCTTCTCCATCTTTTGTAGACCAACAACAGTTACAAAGCAAGGCTTTCTCCCCATTCACAGTATCAGTTCTGACATCCAAAAATATCATGTAATGCTCAGAGGGATGCACAGATAAAGAGCAGGCACCCGAGGAACAGTGTTTGGGGAAGCAGATCATGTTCATTGCTGGTGGAAGAACATTTACGTAATCAATCATTCTCTTTTGGAAAGTTTTTCTTTAAGGAGATATTTGGTAACACATTGGTTTTATTACTGTTACTGGACTTTGTTTTGATACAGTATTCAAACAACAGATTGTTTTATCTCCTACCATAGCTGTTAGCAAATGACTGCTTCCACATTAAGACAGTATGAACAGCACAAACTGATCTTTTTTAGAAAAGGTAAGCTGTGACAGGTTACAGTGACACCCCATTCTGATTCTAGTTAGAAAGTCAGACTACAGTTATCACTATCTGCAAACGAAGAACACAGGGGACATAATTCAGTGGCAGCCAAACAATATAATGCTGATAAGAAAGCAAGTATGAGGAAGGAATAAATGACAATCTGACTGTCAGCTCAGCTGCAACCTCCTCTTCACATTGTGCCTACTCTTTGGTTCTCACTGGAATCGTTTATTTCCACAAAGGAAATGTAAGAAGTATGGCCAGATGTTACAGCAACACTTGGATGTGCTGCTTTGCTAGCAGATGTTCCCAATCTTTAAACAAAACAACTCTGCCTCCAATCCAGGTAAGCACTGTTCTGGAGAAGAGACGTATAAAACAGAGACAAATATCGTTGAAACTGATCTTCCTTCACCAGGAATGTGTTTAGAATTTGATCACTTAGAAGAACCGGATTAAGTCCAAACCAAACATTTGAACCCAGTTGATCATGAGAAGTATTTAAGCAGGTAGTAGGCATATCATCAACATTAAAAAAAAAAAACCTACATCAATCATTAAATGTCGCTCTGTCCCATTTCTAATTTAGACTGCAATCCTTTACCGGGGCATGGGTATTATTGAGTCAACAAGCTTAGAGCTGCCTTCTTCAGATCTACTAGAAATATTTGGGAGCTAAGCCATTAAACAGATTTAGACTGCTGGACATTTCAATATTCAGTTTCATTCCACATGCTTTATTTTCTTTATTATACTGTACCCAGTTTGTAATTCAAACAAAAATCCCTGATTATTTTGAAGAACTGTATTTTATTGGAATAACTAGTAGTCATTTGCATCACTCCAGCACGTAGAGAGAATTAGACATATTGCAAAAAATAGCAAGCAAGTTTCTAGTGGCAAAATGTATTCCATACTGACAGAAAAGCACATTAAAGAGAAAAGCTACTTACCTGCTTGCTTTGAATCCTTTTAGTTTCTGTACAAAGAATGACTCAAGAACCTCTGCACACTGATAAAAAGGAGAGTCACTTGGATTGTAATAACGACAATTATCAAATATTTTGGTCATGTCGGCCACAAATTCTGTCACCTTTTTGTAGTAACGCTTCAGTATTCTTTCCTCCATGGTGGAAAGATCTTCAAAATAAACAAATGTTATTAAAAAACAAGCCTCAGTAACTTGTAGCATATCAGCCCACACCCATGGAAATACGAAGGAAAAGAAACGTATGTTTGACTAGAATGTCAGTAATGTATACAGGATATGTGTTTAGGGTATTATGTTAGATCATCGAGTAGGGAGCAAGAAGAGCTGTTTATCAAATGTTTCCAGATCAAAGTCAAGACAGGATACTGGGCATTATCTCTAGTTATAAAGATGCAGTTTTGAAGATTCTGTTTGAAGAAGGCACTCTGAAACCTATACAGACACATTTCCACCGGAGACCACTTGGCTTTTATACTCTGAACTCTCTGATTGGGGTTTCCTTACTTTTTAATTACCCCAAGCAATTAGTGCATATAAACATGCTTAAATTGTACATCTTCTCTTGAGCACTCATTATTTCAATTCAGAACCTTGTCTGAACTTTTCAATCAGTTTTAACGCAAAAGGACACAAAGAACACAGTGTGATCAAGGATCCCATTCTGTAATTACCAGTCACAGTAATAGGAAATTTCTAGTTACAATTCCTTGACTTTGAAACAGTTTGCGTACCTCTGTTAAACAGTGGGAGAATAAAACAGTATCTAAAATCTAAGGAATCAGTAACCTAAAACACACACTGATGCTCACAAATGTATTTAAGTTCCAGATATTATAGCACTGCTAAAGATAAGGACAAGCAGACTTGGTAATCTAGTTAGAAAACCCTCATAACGCTTTATGTAGGAATACAAGGCACCAATTAAAACACTGTCTAATTTTTAAGAAAAGTCTTCAGAAACAAACAGGTCTTCAACATGAGGAAAGGAAGCTGGTGAGCATAATTAAGAGGATAAATGCTGCCACTAAATAAGATGTGTTCTGATCCCCAGTGCCAGGGCCATGAAGGAATATAGAAATCCTGGCATTTCACCAACAAGGTCAAAAGTCAAGGAATAACCCCAAAAAGAAAAGGAGGACTTAGGTTGGAGCTGGCTATAAATTTTGTACCTATTTGCTTTATTTGTGGGGGAAGGGAGAATGGAAAGTAAAACATCTCCCTGGATCATCACAATGAGATTTCCCCCTTGCAAAGATTTATTACGGGTTGCTATGCACTTGAGCATGTAAATTCTGTCTTCATGTACCAGATCATTCTCACTCTCCACACCTAACCGAAGTTTGAACATTCCAGGTTTCACTTTAGATATAACTAAATAACAGAGTTTTCTAAATTCCAATTCTTTTAGACTTTTGATACCTGGAGCTGAAGCTGCCTATAGGAAATAATGGAAAAACACAAGACTTTATTTTGACTGCAACTGGAGAGCAATACTCCCCTCACTACAACCTAAAGACAGGCAAAAACAGGAGCTCTGATCTTTGGCTTCACTGAGAACCTGGAAGATCTGTTTATAGACAGTAGAAACAAGAATTTTAGATTCTCAACAGTAATCAAGAACCCAAAAATCTGTCAGGCCTTCAATATACAAACTATTTGCTTTATTATTCATTTATCTGACCCATCCTACAAGAAACAACCTATTCTATTAAATAAGAAAATTGCTTCTAGCATTTCCTGTTGAGTGAAGAACTATGAGCAACTTATTAAAAGAAACATATCATGATATATAATTTCAAGAGGTATCTACAGCTTAATATAAAGACTATAATACACAGACCTGTAAATAGATTCACAATCTAACTGTAAGACAGGCAAAAGTGGGAGGACTGAGGAGAGAATGAGCAAAATATAAGGCCTTTAGCCTTTAAGTCAGGAGGGGGAAAAAGAAAGAAACCAAGAGAGAAAAGAAGAGGAAAGAGGTAAAGTAATAGGATCAAAGAAAACAGAATATTAAAGAAAAAGGTAAACAACAGGATTACAATGAACAGCAAAACAAGCACGACAACAGAATAAAAGAGTCATGCAAAAGTAGAGATACTTAATAAGCAAACCCTTAATCGCAGCTTTCAGGGCAGATTTAAAGAATACAGCTTAAGAGAGATTTCAAAGATAAAATTGTGAAAAGAAGCAACAGTTGCTTCAATAAAGAGAGACTTCATATTAGCACCAAGATTACAATTTGAAAAGGACAGATTGTAAGCATCATGATTTTATGTACTGCGTATATTTTTGTTTTTCATCTATATTATAATGTGATGTGGCTGCTTGTAACTAGGAAGGACAATAGGAAAAAAAGTGTAAATAATATTCTGTCCCAATCAAGGAAATTATTACAGCTTCAATTTAATGCATATTTATTCATAAGTTCTAATTAACTTCTAAGCATACATTTAAATTTTGTTTTGGATTTAACCCACTGTAGGTCAAACATGCCTTTGCCGACTAACCTATAGAAGAAATGAATCATACACACAACATATACTAAACAGGATGCCCTAGGATTCACTCACCCATAGGTTCTTTGATAACACCATAATAATCTGGAGCATCATTGGGATCTACTGGTTCTAAGAATGGCCAAGCCATCTTGTGAGCCTGTTAGGAAAAGGATATATCATTCATTTCAGAAAGGATGATTGTTCGTTAATATGAGAAACCTTCTTTCACATCAACTCTACTGTTGCAGTGCACTGGGAAAAGCGGAGAGGAAATCACTTGTAGAAATCTGTTACATTGCTGCATGCAAACCACACACACAGAGTGGCTGATTTCAGTGAGCTTCAATTCACAAGGATCTGCTCAGCAGTTTTCATTCCACTGGCTGAACTAATTGAACCCCATTCCCCCAAAGATCTACTGCAATGCTTTTTGAAATGCAGTTAACCCCTCGATTCACTAAATCGCAATTCAGTAGACTCAGATGCAATGGACAAAACCCCATTTGCATTTAGTGGACTTTGGATCTAGTGGACACCCCTTCCAATTACTCTGTGAAACTGAGGGTTTAGCGTACGCTGGTGCATTGATTAAACAATATTCAGCCTTACCTGCAATGAACGTAGCACTCTCTTTAGCCCTTCATAATCTTTGTCAGTCAAAGGACTGAGAACTGTCATGGCATCTTCAGTTGACTGACACTGCGGACAGACATACTCATCAATGAGATCTGCCTCACTTTGCAAAATACCAACGCAGCGCCCGTGATACCAATTCTGACATCGGTCACAGCCAATGTAAAATCTGCAAGATCCCAAAGAAAACTGTTAACACCTTTAATTCCACATTATGACTTTTCCTTGGTTAACAAACCTAAAAGATGAGGATTCTTGCCTCACATTCACACTTAAATTTCTGACATCAAATTGGAAGCATTGCTTTATCAACCATGCTTAATCTCAAACAACTGAAACTTCTTAGAGCTGAAAGGAACAAAGGTGAAGCCCAAAATCATAAATTGTGCATTTACAAATATGATTATCAGAGATTCTCTTTTCCTTTTGATCAACTATTTGTAAAAGTACTATTAATACATTGGTTGACTATCTGTAGAAAATTGACATTCAGAGTCCTATAGCATAATATGAATGGGGCACTTTAACAAACTTAATACCACTTATATACTGATTTTGAAATTACAATCATAACTTCAGCCTGAACTAAAACTAGTATTAATTGCAATAAATTACAAATTCCTAGCAGCTAAGGCATTTGTTGGAAACGTGCTGCAATAAATCAGTAAAAATAGCCTGTTTTGAAGAATGCAAATTTTACTGGCAATACTAGAAACCTCCCTTTCCCCGAGTGTCAATCATAATACGATTTAGTGTCATTTTAGAGATTCTTAAAGTCATGGCACTAGATACAACAGATGTTGAACAATATTTCTTTTTTGTTCAAGAAACACATTACCAAACTCAGAGCAGTTTTCTACCTAAATATTAAATAAGAGGTTCTTGTCAGAACTCACTGTGACTCATCATAAGGTGTTCTGCAGATACAGTACAATTCCTCACTGCTGCCCTCTTGTGCCCGTTTACACTCATTACAGATGTACACATCCATTTTCTTAGCCTCCTTTTCTGTGATGCCAACACATTCTCCATGATACCAGTTAGTACAAAGATCACAGCCAATATAGAACCTAAAAGTATTTACAATGAAAATGACAATGTAATTGTCATTTCAAATGGCAAGGCACTTGCTAACCTGAATCTTTGACTTTTTCTGAATTAAATTTCCCTAACTACATTAATCTACTCTTCCGGACCTAGTATCTTCAAGCTAACACAGATAAAAAGTTGCCAGGCCCTACTTCAATAGACAGTTCTTCATATTTTTGCAAAAAACCCCAACAAAAACAAAAAACAAACAAAAACAAAAACAAAAACCAACAACAACAAAAAAGGACTGAAATCTGAAAAATGTGAATGTCTCAACTGTGAATGCACAAAGACACGGCCAAAGAAAAAGATCTATATTTTCAAAACTCTTGCTAAAAAACCATGAAACACATTGGTCATTCTTAAGATTTGAAAACATAGGTCTCAATTTTAAAAAGAAGCACAGTGCAGATACGACTAGAAGTTACAGGTACACTTTAAAAAAAAGCAGCATGCATACCAGCCATATGTAAAACACATATTGGTATAACATGACATGAAGGAAAATGGGACAAGTGGATGTATGTTTTCCAAGAAACTGCCTGAAATTGGTGGAAATTCTAGCAAATTAAAAAAAAAAATGCAGGGCATTTATTCAAAAATATCTATTCTCAGAAAACGTTGGGTGTCAGATCAAAGACGACATGTTAAAAAACCACACAAGTACGCAACCTCATCCTTGCGTACTTGCAAACCTCCATCGGACAGTATCCAAGTTCAAAATAGTTGTTCTTTTAGTGATTCTAGTACGATGCTAGTGCTGCGTACCAGAATTGCTGGTTTAGATATATTGTTTGCCTCAAACCCCTGAAGGAGGGAACTGTAGCCTTATGGAAGAAAGGAACACATGTTCCCTCATACCAGATTCATTCGTGTACCCCTATAACTGACTTGGTATTGCGTCTGAACATAGCTTCGGTCTCCAAATTAGGTGGAATATTCCTTAACACCGCCCCTAGTTCCACAATCTCCCTTTGCATACTGTGTTATGTTATCCTGTTATTTAAGCATCCTACTGCTGCACTACAGTGCTTAGGTGTGCCTACTAACCTAATCTCCGCACCTGAGAAGACAGAAAACCTTCCTGCAATATGCCAGCCAATGTATCTGCTATGGCCTCCACTCAGAACTAAGACTGAAAGAACTTTCTCTTACAAACCTCTCCAGAAATTACCCCAATCATTCCTTTTTTCTGCCTATCTTCCACTGCAGTCCTAACGATTGCCCGCTAAATCTAAACAAACAGCTTTGATGCAAGAAGGCCAAATAAACATGCTGCATATTACGGCTGGGATCCAACTAGCGTGAGTAAAATTCAGCTGACAGCACTGGCCCCTAAACTCCTTTCTGTCCTTCTGCAGGATCCCCTCCTTCTCAGGACCAGCTGGATGGGAAAGCCACGCTGCGAGTGAAGAGTTCTGCTTATGTTGTCTGCCTTACTTCTATTAACACCTGAATTTACTGAGTGATCCATAGCCAAGACACTTCTCATAGGCTTGAATGTCAACAAGATTCCCTCTCAGGTTATCTTCACCAAGGATATTAAGTGAAGAGACAACGCAGCATAAAAATATGTACAGAAGGCAAACTGAATAATCAGCTTTCTTCCTTTTCATCAATGAAGAGCATGGTTCAACAGAAGGAGAGCAATGGCCTGAATAACTATTTTTAATCTGTAAATCATCTGATCTTCTAATAAATGCTCACAATAAATTCAGCAGTGAAAAATGTAATACCTTTCTCATCTGTCTGAATTGAAAAGCAGGTATTATTGATTACAGTAATTTTTATATATGTATTTTATTTAAAAATTACTGTAATCAATACACACACATGCCAGTACTATTAGAGCTTAACTTCCAGAAAAAAAGTGCTGACTCACTCATTCTGCTCAATTTACTTGTGATAATTTATTTTCTTTAGATACTATAGTTCAAGAAGTAACTGTGGTAAATGCTGTGCCACAGACATTTTGAAACAGATATTTTTTTATATGATTATTCATAAAGATTCTCTCAGAAAAAGCTAATTTTATATGGTAGACAGACTTGAGACTCATGTCTCCTACAAATATTGCAATTAACCATATAAGTTTAAAATTTAAAAGTTCTAGTACTGATTTGACAATGAACTCTAGATAAACAACAAGAAATCCAGGACATGTTCATTAAAACTTCTGATACCACCATTATGGTTAAACTGCCAACTTTTAATCTTTTTAGTCAAGTCAATTCTGTGAGTGGGGCAGTTAGATCTCTAGCTGGATTTTTCAAATATTACTTGCTGTTTTTAAACTATAGCGATATCCAGATCAAAAGCTATTTCTGATTTATTAAATTATATTAGCTATGGCATCTTAATGTTTTTAATAATTACATAAATATATTTTACATTTTATTATTGAACAATATTTTAGAGACCTGCCCTTTCCATTTCCCCTAAAATAATAATTTAAAAAGAAGACTAATTTAAGACAACAGCACTTGGAACTCTCAGAAAACTCTACTGTAGTACATTCATCCAAGTTCTCCAGATATTCTATAATTTACCTCCTATCTGGCAAACTCGTAATATAAAATGTGTATCCTGGCATTTAAAAAGTCTCCTCCCTGCCGGAGAGTACAAATATAATCCATAAATATATTTAGACATGATCAAGAGCCTGTCCAAGAAAACTAATCTGTAATCCATTGCTTCTGAACCAGAGCAAGAAAGAAAGGGGGGGGGGGAGGAACAAAGTAAAGAATGTGCAATGTGAGACAAGATTGTACAATGGAAACATGCAAGTAAGGTATGAATCACAAAAGCCAAAAGACTGCTTTCAAAAAATACAATTGAGCGCTAATATTTGTAATACCTTCTCAGTGATTGCACAATAAAACGGTATCAAATGTCTAACTCCGTTTCTATTCATCTAATCCAGCTACTAACTAAAAGCTAAAACTAAACTAAGAATGCTTCAAGCACATAACATTCATTACTCACTTGGATTCATCGTAAGGCGTCTTGCAGATGCAGTAAAGCTTTGTATCCTTCTTGGTTTCCTTTGAGGTAGTAGAAATCATTTTCTTTTTCTTGGATTTTGAAGATGCAGACTCCTTCTCTTCCTCTCGCTTTCTTTTGTGGGATGAAATAGACGATGTGCCTGAAGCTGTTGAAGGAACGCTGGAACCGGAAGTGTGTGGTGGTGGAGGTGGTGGTGGTGGTGGTGGTGGCGGTGGAGGAGGTGGAGGCGGTGGTGGAGGCAGGACTGCAGCCGCTGCAGCAGCTGCTGCAGCAGCCTGTGCCTTTTCTTTTTCTCTCTTAATCTTAGTCAGATCTTTCTTTAGTTCTTCCTAAAGAAAAAGAAAAGCACAAAAGTAACCCACATAGATAGGTGTCCACAATGTCAAAGGTTGATTTACACCATCAAACTTCTACAGAAAACTCATATTTGCGAAGGACTTGGCACTAGTCACTTCTGCAAAACATATCAGCTTTCTTGCTGTGAGCTCCTCAGATTTCTCGTACCCAGAAGATCTGGGCACTGAGCTCACTACAAGAAAACAAGCTATTGATAAAATCTAAATTATAAGCAATAAACTGATTCTGGCTTAATCATGTGCACAATAAAAACTTAGGCCGTTCAAAAATATTGGACCCAAATCGATTAGTATGCCAAATTCATGTAGGTAATTTTATATGAATCTAGCCTTTGTTTCTGCAGTTTAAAGAAATATAAAAACAAAAGGTTTCAAATACAAGACAAAGGAAGCTTTGAAAAGACATTCTCTCAAATCTGAACATTTGTCCCACTGCCCACCAATCCTTAATAACTACTAAAAAGGAAGAAAATAACACCGTAGGATTTAAACACTTTCTAATACAGTGAAATTCTGATTTAAAAGACCCCCATTTACTGGATTTCAGATGCAGTGGACACAATTTCCCTTTGGATATGCCACCAAAATAACAATTTCATCCAAAGTTATCTAGACAAACACTTAGAATGTTAACTTTCCCTTAAATTTACTTCATTTGTGGCAATGTACATTATTTGTATAATTACATCACTGTGCAAATGACATCATTTGTATCAATAGCAAATTGCAGCAATTTGCTTCATCTGGATGTTATTACACTAATAGCATACATTGCCATAATTATGTAATTTTGTATTTAATGAACATTCAGAAAGATTGGAATCTCCTTCCCCAAATGGTTCATTAAATTGAGATTTCACTTTATTTAGTAGAAAGCAAGAATAAAAGAATTGGGTAGGGGATTAATAAGCTAATTTTACATAGATACAAGCCTGTGTGAGAGATATAAATCTGATAAATAAATAAAGAGAAGCCCACAGGTGGTCCTTGCTTAATAACCACTTGTTCAGCAACCATTCGAACTTGCGACACTGCTGAACAAGTCGTACTTATGACTGGTCCTCAGAGTTATGGCCACCACAGCATCCCTGGGGTCACATGATCGTGATCTGGGTGTTCAGTGCCTAGTTCACAATTACGATGTTGCAGTGTCACACAGTCACATGGTTGTCATTTCGACCTTCTTTGCTGGCTTCTGACAAGCAAGTCAATGGGGAAGCCGGCATGAGGGTGCAAATGGTGACCGCATGATGTCCTCGCTTAACAACATGCAGTGATTCATTTAATGACTGCAACAAGGAGTGCTGGAATTGCTGTCGCTAGGTGGTGCACAGTCATATGATGTTTTACTTTACAACTGCATTGCTTAGCAACAGCAATTCCAGTCCCGATTGCTGTCATTAACTGAGACCTACTTGTATTATAGTTGAAAGTGCCCTCTGTGCTCAGAAAAGGAAGCACTGTTAGCATGCTTCATATCTGTCAGCCTTCTAAGGTAGACCAGACAGGAAACATGACCAGATGAGCTCATTCTATTTTATTGTAAGGCTACATTAACAGAATCTTGCAAGTCTGATAGTACAAGTCTCCTGCCATCTCTTTTACAGCCTGAGAAGTTAGGAGGGTTCCTTTTTGGGTCTCTTTCTCTTCCCATTATTATCTGATCGTTCCCTAGGCAGCATCTCTTTCCCCCATCTCCCAAGGTCATTTCCACATACCATTACATCATCACACGTGCCCTCAGCCAAGAAAAGGGAAAGCCAACCCAGAGGCTATGTGGATGAGTGGAAGAGGAGGAAGAGACGGCAAGCAGATAAGGAAGCAAGAAGCGACACCTTGGCAAATTCAACAGACAAGGTCTATGCCACTTTAAGAACTCTTCACCTAAGTCCAGACATCAAAAAAATGAACTCCTCACAGTCAAGTATATTAGCAAGGCCTATGCAGCACTTTGAACTCACTGGCAAAAAGATGCTTCAGAGTGTAGTGGGTGTGTATATAGCACTTATCTGCAACTCCTTACAATAGCTGCATCCATTCCTCGGATCTCAGGGCTACTCTCTGCAGCTGCTGTGCGATCCGTGGCAAAGCATTTGGTTTAAAGAACTGCCAGACAGGTGCTATGTGCATAACATCATGCCCCAAGCAGTGGAACTGGCCTTCAAAGAGTGGATTGGGTGACAGAGGATGTTGGGACATCCTGTGTTTCCCCACTGCCAGGATCACCCTCCACCAGTATGGACGCTTCTCCAGCAGACACAAATTCCAGGCTGCAAGGCACACTATCCCAGCCTTGATGGAAGGATGCTGCACCACACCATGCAGAAATGGATGGCTCACGAAGAGGCTCTAAGTCCTTTCAGAATCTGACACAGTTAACTGCCTCATTACCAGCAACAGCTGGGGTAACAGCTCTACACCTGCACAACCCTAGCCAGGAAGACACTTAAAGGAAGCTGGCACCTTCCCCCAGTTGCTGGAAGCAATTCTGGCATCTGGCTCCCACCCTATGCTCTAGACCAGTGTTTCTTAGCTAACTTTTTTAGCTCAGGACCCCTTCCCACTTTTAAAAATTGTGGAGGACCCCAAAAGAGCTTTTGTTTGTATGGATTACATTTATCAATATTTACTGTATTAAAAATTAAAATCGACACATTTGCTGCCACTACTGCTTTTCACAATTGTTTGATGGGCTTTTAATATTAAAATATTAATCTGAGGAATAGCCATTAATAATTTAATATTAAAATATTATCTGAGGAACCGCCTCGCCGTGGTCATTTCAGCCCGCCCCACTCGGTCCAGCAGAAGAGGCAGGTTGCAGACCCCACCAGTCAAGGAATTTTGATGGGTGGGGTCTAGGCAGAGAGCCTTTTCTGCTGCAGCGCCCGCCCGAACATCCTGCCTCCTGAGATGCGGTGTGCCCCCTCCCTCGTGGCCTTCAGGAAAGGGATCAAATCCTGGCTGTGCCAGAAGGCC